ACTGCCATCTCAGCAGAGGCACACACAGACGCGAACACGCACGGATGTGTGCATGTCGCAGACAGGCTCCTCCCAGGAATCCTGGATAGGGTGTCCCAGAGGAGCGCTGGGTGAGGCCCGCATAGGCTGTCCCCATGCTCAGGGCCCTCCCCTCCCAGGGCTATCTCACCTTCCACCAGGTGCACCCTGAGGGATCTCCTTCCTCCCCGCAAACAGCCACACCCACCATCATTGCCCTTGCTCCTCGCCGGCCTAGCAGGGACCAGGCATGGTCTCCTCCTCAGGGCCCCATCCGCAGACGGGGAGGTGGAGGCAGGCGGCTTATGTGGGGCGGGAGACAGGGCTTGAAGGGAGACCCCAGCAGAGCACTGCACCCAGGCTCCTGTCTCCATTCACGGGGTCCCCTGCAGCAACCCTGGACCCCCCTCAGACCCACAGCACCCCCAAGGACTCAACCTACCCCCAATCTTCAGGCCAGGCTGCCCCCATTCTCCCCACGACGGGGCGGGTCACACCCCACCCCTCTGGCCTTGGGGCCACGTAGGCTGCCAGGGTCCAAACCTCTACCCCCCAGGCCACGCAGGGCCCCTACAGCTGTGTCCTTTGGCCAGCAAGGTGGTTCACGACGTTGGAATGAGCCACCAACATTTCAAAATCTCCAAATCCACAAAAAAATCCATTACCAGCCGCTCTCAGAAACCCCCAAGATCTGCCCACACAGGACCCTTGTCCCCTCACTGCAATGAGGGCGGCAGCGGCCCCCAGGACGTGGCACATGTGGCCTGGCCACCGCCGCCCCCCCACAGCAGCCGGTGCCTCCCCTCGGCTCCTGTCACTTTGAACCCAAGGCCAGCTGTGGCCCCAGGGGACCCCTCTGGGCTCAGATGGCTCGGCAAGGAAGCAGGCAAGGACCAGCGGGGGCCCAAGGGCATCATGGGGCTCGCTCCCGGTAAGGCCGTTCTGGAGGGGGAAGGGGTAGGCCCGGCACGGGGGGCTGCAGTCTACCACCCTCTCCCGCTGACCTGTCAATTCTGTCTCCCCCACGTAGGCACTCAAGTGCCAGGGCCACGCTCCCAGAGCAGAAGGGCCTAGGAATGCAGCGGCTGCGCCAGTCCACACCTGCCTGGCCGGCCCACGCACCTGCACAGGCCCCAGAAGGCAGAGATCCCAGCACTGCCGCCCTCAGATCAGGGGGAAGGAGGGGATGGTGGGCACACCTGGAGCCCGTCGCAAGTCTCAGAGGCGCCTCCTGCAGCACCCAGAGAGAGGCCCCTTCCCGAGCAGTGGCCCCGAGGGACACGGCAGTACGGTCTGACTATGGCGAGCGCGGCCCCCCGAACGCACACCACACAGCATGGTGAGCCGTGTCCAGGCCGTGCACCCCTCCCTGGGTGCCCCCTCCCCAGGCTGCTTTCCCGATGCTCGGCAGGAATGCAGCGAACAGGCGGCAAGTCCAGATGCGCAGAAAACCACTTGTCGGAATAAATCACTCCACGTGTGACACACACTCGCTGATGCTGTCATAAAAATAATGGCACGGCACTTTTTATTTTCTTTAATCGGAAAAATAAGCCCCGTGTTTCTGGGAGACCCTGGGTGAGGACCAGATGCCCGTAAGCCCTGCTCTGGGCATTGGGCGGCCCCCACACCCAGCCAGTGGGGACCCCAGAGGGCCAGTGTCCTCATGAGCAAATGGTGTGGGCGGGGGGGGGCACCTCCAAGCCTCCACGAACAGGGTCAGTACTAGAGTGGCCGTCGCGGCTCAGTGACACTAGGCACACAAAGGGCTGCCAGGAGCCCAGCCAGCGCACCCCCAGCTGGCTGATGCGGTTGTCCAGAAGGGGCTGCAGCCCCCTCCCCAGAGACCCTCAAATTCTGGAGGGTCAGATCTGAGCTCTTGCCTTATGCCCAGGACTCCAGGAGCACCAGTGTGGGACTGCCCTGAGCCAGGGATCTGGGGTGAGGAACAGGCGACCCCTGAGCACGGGTCTGGGATGGGCGGAGGGCAGTAAAAGCCCTGTAGTGTGAGGTCTGTCCCGACAGGGAATGTCCTGGGGCGCCAACAGCTGGAAAGCTGCACAGGCTGAGTGGGAGGCCAGGAGGAGGCATTCCAAGAATGGCCCCGGCCCTCCTGGTCCAGAGCTGGGGGGGATGGGAAACTCTGCCTCCACTTCAGTGCCTAGCCACAGGGGTGGAGGCAGAGTTGGGGGGGTGGGGGGGACACCCTCCTGTCACCAGCAGCTCCTACTTGGCCACAGACAGCCCTGAGTGCCCCCCGTGTCCCCTCCCTGCATTCACAGAACCCTGGAGATGCACATGCCATCATCGCCCTTCACCAGAGGGGAGGTGACCGGGACCTGTGGCCTGGCTCCAGCTGAGCCCACATTCTGCCTAGGGGCATGGAATGCACACTGGCCAAATGGGTTAGGGCCCAAGGAGCGCGAGGCCTGCGCTGGCACACCCCCACAACACGTACGCACACCCGGGCTGGGCGTGCACATGCTCTGACATACAAGGACACGTGGGCACTTCAGAGGCAAAGAGAGACACTGAGCAACCCCTCCAATAAGCCCAAGCCCTTGGGGGCTGCCGTGTCCACTCTCCTAGGAGCGTGCACATCCCAAAGTAGCGGGCACGATGGGGGCAGGCATGGCAGGGAGGTGGGAAGATGCTGGGGGTCCTCTCCTCTCTTCCTGGTGCAGGTGGGCCTCAGCTTGGTAGCGGCCCTGCAGGGGCTGCCTCTGCTGAGCCTCAGTTTCCAACCGCAAACAGCCCGGCCTGTCTGGAGAAGGCCTCTGGCCAGTCTGGCAGCACATCTGCCCAGCACAGCCACACCCAGGGTGGCCTAGAAAATGGGCATCAGGCTCCAGGACTCACAGATGGGGCCTGGCGGGCTACCGCAGGGGTGGAAGATCGAGTCCGTCGTGACCTCAGGGGCCTGCAGGGACGGCCCAGTGCCAGGAGTGAGAGCTGCGGCTGATGGGCCCGAACCAGGTCCAGCAGTGACCGCCGCGGCTGGCTCGGGGGCCCCAGGAGGGGCCGACGGGGCGGGGCTGGCCGGCCCAGGAGCGACGGGCGCTCAGGGATGGGGAGTAACGGCTGGGGTTTGCAGGGCTGGCTGGGGCCCAGAAGGGACTGCAGGGGCTGGCAGGGCTGCTCGGGGCCCAGGAGTGGCCGCTTTCGTCGGCAGGGCTGTTCTGGGCCCAGGAGTGGCCGCTTGGGTGGGTGAGGCTGTTCTGGGCCCAGGAGTGGCCGCTTCTGTTGGCACGGCTGTCCAGGGCCCAGCAGTGAAGGTTTTGGGGGGCCAGGGTGCTCTGGGGCTTCAACTAATTGCTGGGGCTGACTGAGGCCCAGCAGTGACCCCTGGGGGTGGCTGGGCTGGCCCAGAAGGGACCTCCGGGGCTGGCAAGGGGCTAAAAGAGTACGCCGGGGGCAGCAGCACTGGCCTGAAAGTGAGCTGGCGGGTCGGCGGCGTGGACGCAGCAGGAGGAGTGACTGTGGGGGCCGGCACCGCTGTCCTGAGGATGGCCTGCTGGGCTGGCCACGGAGACAGGGGGCCACCCATGACCGCACGGGCCAGCAGCGGTGCCAGAGGGCCAGGAGGGAGCGCAGCGGCCGGCAGAGGTGGCACGGGGCCAGGAGGGAGCGCAGGGGTCGGCAGCGGTGCCACGGGGCCAGGAGGGAGCGCAGGGGTCGGCAGCGCTGCCACGGGGCCAGGAGGGAGCGCAGGCGCCGGCAGCGCTGCCTAGGGCCTAGGAGCGCCCAACGTGGCCGGCAAGGCTGAGCCAGGAGTGACTGCTGGGGCCGGCAGTGCTGCTCTGGGGCTGGAAGCAGCCGCTGGGGCCGGCAGGGCTGACCTGGGCCCAGAAGTGACCGCCGGGGCTGGCAGGGCTGTCTTGGGCCCGGAAGTGACCGCTGGGGCCAGCTGCGCTGACCCGGGAGTGGCCGCTGGGGCTGGCAGGGCTGCCCGGGGTCCGGGAGAGCCCGACGGGGCTGGCAGCGCTGACACGGGGCTGGGAGTGACCCCTGGGGCTGGCTGGGCTGGAGCTGCTGCTGGTGCTGGGCCGGGCCGTTCTGGTCCCAGTGGTTGGCTGGGAGCGGCCCCCCTTCTGGGGAGCACACCTGCATGGAAGAAAGAGCACGTGTCCACCTGGGCAGGTGTGCCTGCAGACCCCCCAACCAGCCCGGGCCCCTGAGACATGCTGCCCCCTCACCAGCAGCCCAATCCCCAAGGGAGTTGAAAGTGGAGTGTGAAACACCAAGAAGAACCCCTCTCTGGAAAGAAGGCGCAAACCAGTGAGTCCCTGAAGAGGAAAGCAGCTGCAGGGCTGAGCCGGCACCTGGGATAGAGCCCCACGCTCTGGGAGAGGGCCCCCCCAGTCCCAGTCTCCCCACCCTACCCCAGCTGGGCTCTGGTGACAGCAAGGATGGCCCCTCCCACCAAGGGCCCGTCTCCCAGCTGCTGTGGAGGGAGGCCCCTGGGCGGGGCTGCTCCCTGCACCGGGGCCCCTGACCACAAGTCACGTGACACCCCCCACCCCCTTCACAGATATGCTGTATCCTACAGAAGATTAGCAGATGGAGAACACCCAGTGCTGAACCTGGCCCCCACGCATTACAGACACCCTGGACACCCCGTGGTCGGCGGAGCCTGACAGACGCAATGGGGAAACGGGGCCAGCCTATCAGCGGGTGCACCCTCCTGCCCCAAGTACACACTCCCCCACCCCCAATCCCTGGGCTCCCAGCTTGGCCTCTCTGGCTGTGTGACCCACTGGGGGAAGGTCTCCTGTCTGCTCAGGACCTGGGCTCACGGCGAGCAGCTGCCTCGGGCCCCAGTCGACATGTGCCCCATACCCCACGCCCAACAACGATGGAGCACGTTGCCAGGCAGGCCCAGATGCCAACGGTGGTGTCCAGGTGCTGGTGTGGCCCTGAGGGCACCCAAGGGAGAGGGCACAGAGCCCATGGTTCTGAGTGGGGCAGGGCCCAGTGCTCACCTGCTTGGTGGGCTGCAGGGGGACCTTCTTCTTCCCCCGGTCGCAGGCAGGCTCCAGGTCCTGCTCGGGACTGACGAGCTCCAGGGGACGCCCATTCTCACTTGGTTCTGCGGACGGGCAGTTTTCTGACTCGCGGGGCTTCTTGGCAAGGCGACGTTCCCATTTCTCCTTCCGCTCATGTGGCTTCAGGGCCATGTCCTTCTGTCAGTGAGGAAGGACAAAGCTGGTTAATTGGCAGTGACATCAGTGACACCATGGAAGACCGTGCCGTGCTCTGAGGGTGGGTCCCTGGGCATGTGACAGCACCTACCTAGAGCGCCAAGCACCATCCCCTCCCCCGAGTGGGCTATCAGGCCGGACTCACACCTCAGGAAGACGGGCAGATGGGTCAGATGAATGTGGGTGGGCCTGTCAGCACTGGGGGCTCAGAGAGTGATGTGAAAACACAGCTAGACCAGGGGCTGTTTCCCAAGGGGCCCTAGCCGGTCACGGGGGCCCCCAATCCGTGGCCCAAAATGGAGCAGGTGCTGCACTGGCTGGCCTTCCTAGGGGTGTCCCTCAGATTCCTGAGTGGAGGGCCATCGCCACAGCAGCTGACCACTGTCCCCTGGTCCGGTCCACCCATAGGTTTATCTGCCCAACTCCATGCAGCGTGGCATCCGGATACCAGTCCTTGACTCAGCCAGGTATGCAGAATGTCAGGGACCTGGGACCCCTTCCCTAGAACAGGGACCTGTGCCCGTTTTGCTCACAGCTGCACCCGGTCCCAAAGCGGGGACCGATACCCAGCAGGGATTCACTGAGCATGCCCTGCTGTGCCGATGCCAACCGTAGTAGAAGGGTGCCCACAGCACCGTGCACAGCCCCTACTATGTAGAGCTGGTCCTGCCAGTGAGCCCAGAGCCCAGGAGAGCCTGTATTTACTGGTGGTGACCAGGTGTAGTGTCACCCACCAGCCTCGTGCTGGGTCCATGGGTAGGGTGGGAGGCACCATCTCCACAGGGCTGCTGAAGAACAGGGAAGGACCCAATGGGAAAGCATTCACGCAAGGGGGAGGGGAGGAGGGCCTGAATGAAGGTGATGCCCATGGCTGAGGTGCTCCCCCACATTCCAGGTGATACCCTCACGGCCCCACAGGAAGTGCTTCTTAAGAACCCGAGGGGTGACTGTGGCAGCCTCTCCAGGGCTGGCCTCTGTGCTCAGGTGGGCACCTGGCCCCCCAGCCAGGCCTCAGTCCACCTGGGCAGCTCCCAGTCTGTTGTGGTCCCCTGGCCTGGCGATGGAGACGGGGACACGCTGTGCTTGGCAGGTGAGGTCCTCCGACCCCGCACTACACGCCTCCTCCTGTCCGTGTGAGGGGCCCACAATCCCCATAACTAGTGAGGTGCACCAACACGGCTGGCCAGACTAGCGCTGCCCTTCCAGGCACGGAAGCCCCCACGACTGTCCTGCTCTGTGCGACCCCACAGCCTGGGCTGGGAGCAGCCATGCACGGCTGCAGGCAGCAGCAGACTCTTCCTCTCTCAGGTTGGACACTCCACACTCCCAGGATTCTCCTGAGGGGCCCGCACCACAGTCACAAAGACAGAGGACAGCCCCACCAAAGCCTCTCACCTCTGATGTGACACTAAGGGCTGGAGTGTGCATCCTCCTGCATGGGGGGGAGGGGGTTCACCCTGCATCCCCACGCCCTCCCCAGGGCTCACTGAGGGGCAGTGGGAAGGGAGAGGGGAGGTTGGGCCGGCAGAGGCGCCTGCCCTGGGACATCCGAAAGGCTGGGAACCCTCCCTTGCTGAAGCTGTTCAGCTTGGAAGATGATGGCCACGTGGCTCTGCCTGAAGCTCCACAGGCTTCTGTGACAGCGGCACGTGGACCCTGACTTCTCAGACCACGCTGGCCTTCTGGAGTATCAGACCCCAGGGACACCCACAGGCTGCTGGCATTTCGGCGGCCGCTCCTGGAGCCCCGGTCAGATGAACCCCTCAGAACCCCGGCTCATCTCAGTCCAAGGGGGCCGCTCCCCCCACACCCTGACAACGGAACCCCTGCTCACTGTAAGACCTTCCAGCCCCTGCCCTGCCTATGGGTCTCAGGTCGATTCCACACTCGGGGTCTCCCACCTTTGCATACACAAAGCTGGCAGCAAACACTGACCAGGCCGGCTCAGCCCCAGGCACCAGCTCAGAAGGCAGCTGGCTCAAACGGACACGAAGCCCAAGGGAAGGGGCTAGGGTTAGAGCCTCCCACAGAGGAGCGGCAAGTGCAAACAGCCCAAGGGGGCCAGGAGCTCCATGCTCCCTCCCTCCCTCCCTCTCTCCACTAGTCAGCACAGGGCCACAAGCCTCCCTGCGGAAGGAAATCGAGGCGGTCCCTCCAGTGATGAGAAAGTCCTGAAGACCGCAGCTCATTCTCCACTCTCCACATGCGGGCACTTGATACTTACTGGTGCCTGGTGGTCCCAGGACCCCGAGTGCCATACCCCCTTACAGACAGTCGGTCACTCTTAACTCATTGCTTTCAGGCCTCCTGCCCTGCTGGAGGGCCAACCTTGCTGCTCACAGGCTGGTCCTCCCACACAGGCCTAGAGAACAAGGAGGCCCCCACCGTCCCTACCTCTCCGCCCTGGATGCTGCCACCCAACTGCAGGCCGCAGCACCTCACCACCTACCCTCAGGGTCCCTTCCTGGTGCCAGCCCTGCAGCATGGTACAGAGGGTAGGCCCAGCAGACTGTGGTCAGAGGCCTGCAGAGAAAAACCAGAGCAACATGCTGTAAAGGGTGGACCAGCCAGGGCTTTCCAGAGAAACAGACCAGCAGGATGCCTATACACAGAGGGCCTTCTTCTGAGGAGCTAGCTACGCAAGTGTGAGGCCCAGATGCCCCAAGATCTGCAGGGGTACAGTTCTTGCCAGGGCTGGACAAAACCTCGGTCCCATCTCAAGGGCCCAGGTAGGAGGAGCGCTTATCTCCTTGGGGGAGGGTCTGGCTTTCCGTTCTGTTCAGGCCTTCAGGGGATTGGATAAGGCCCACCCACACGCTGGAGGGCCACCTGTCTCACTCATTTTACAGATTTAAATGCTAAAGTCATCCAGAAACACCCTCACAGGTACCCAGAATGATGTCTAACCAAACCCTTGGGTCCCTGGGGGACACTGGCCCCACCACAGGCAGGTACAGACACTACTTGGAGGGCATGTGGGCGTGGTGAGGAGGTGGGAGTTTGAGGCGCCCCACCACACACGTGCAAGCACATGTGCAATGTTCACACTCCCACGTGTGCACCCACCCCTGGCCTCCACAGCCTGGGCAGGAGGCGGGGCTGGAGTCCCAGAGCCGGACAGGTGTCTCTGCCAGGCCCTCTCTGTGCAGCAGCTGCACTGTGTGGGCTCCTGGGCCCCGCCCCACCTCAGCCCTAACATCAGCTTCTCAGCACCCGGGTGCTGGAGGTGGCCTGGGGCTGCCCTGAGGCCCTTCCAGAACCCGCAGAGGGGCCAGGGCAAGGCCTGGAGGGAGGCCTTTGTATCAGTATGACAGATGCATACTTTGGGTGAAAGATGTGACTGGATGTGTCTGGAGAAGTGGCCTGGGGCGTACACACCATGCAGCCCCCATGGGCCACCTAGACCTTCATACTGCCACAGAAAGCAGCCAGTCCTCTCTCCTCAGATACCCGCGGGCCACCTCCTTCTGCAAGAAGCCAGCATCCTGCACTCCGTGACTCCACACACGGACCTCCTGAGCCACTGTGGGGTGAGCCCCACTTTCACAGAGAGAGCCACTGGTTCTGAGGACTTTCCGATCAGGTAAAATCACGGAAACAGTTTCTAGCCTGGGGGACAGCCTCTGAAGTCCCATATCTGAGCCCTGGAATGAGAACAGGGCTGGCCTGCGGTGTATATGATCAGAAGCACAAGCAGATACTAACTAGGAAACCTGTGGGAAGAGCCTGCCCCTCTGGGACACCTGGCTGGGCTGGGATCCGTCTTTCTAATGAGCACTTGTAGTCAAAACAGACAAAACGGGGGGACGGATGGAAGGGCAGACACACTGCACAGCAAGCGCGGTGAACCGCTAGCCGCAGACCAGGCAGTGGACTCTACAAAGGCCTCCCTCTAGGCCCTGCCCTGGCCCCTCTGCGGGTTCTGGAAGGGCCTCAGGGCAGCCCCAGGCCACTTCTCCAGACACATGCAATCACATCTTTCACCCAAAGTATGCATCAACCACAAATCGTTCAACACATCACATTTTCTGTAAACCTGTTATATTTGTTTGTTTTTTAAACAAACAAAAAACCTAGATTGTTAGAACCCTTAAAATATCAGTGACTGGGCCTCTCCTCTGGCCTGGACTCAGCCCAGCAGCATCCTGGCCCCAGGGCAGGAGCTCTTGCATCTGGAAGAGGGGCGGAGCTGGGAAGCGACTTGGCCCCAGCCCAGCAGAAGGGTATAACGACACCATGGGCCTTCTCCTGGCTCAAGCGGGCAAGAGGCCTGATGCACCGGGATCCAGAGGCAGCCATCCCCACCCAGCTACTGCCCTGAGAATGACCCCAGGCATCCCTGGGCTTCCTGGAGGAGACCCGATGCTGTGCCCCCAAGGGGCTCTTGGTCACAGGACTCAACAATTCCTGCCATGAGGCATTGCTGGGATATGTCTGGCTGGCCCTTTCCCAGCATGCCAAGGCTGCGGCTGGCCTTCACTTGTTATGCTGACCCCGTGTGAGCCCGGGCCAGTTCTGGAGGCTCACCCAAGCTGAGGCACACACCACCGCAGTTCTGCCCCCACTGAGCCTGCAGTGGGGGTGCTGGCCCTGGGTCCCAGTCGCGGCTCTGCCTGGAGCGTGGGGCCTCTGGGTAGGTGCAGTTTCCTTATCTGTAGACTGCGGCAGCAGCTCTGCCCAGGCTGTGGTGACCGCTCCGGGCGAGGGAAGAGCCGCAACAGCAGTGACTGCCCCACCACGGGCCAGGGTGGGTCTCCGAGTAAAGGGTTCCTTGGGGCAGACCCCCAGGGAGGGAGGCCGAGGCGAGCAGTGGGCTGGTGTCTGACTCGCAGGACGTTTAGCATGCTGCTGGTGGATCCACACTAGGAGCCCACAGAATTGGAGTGTGCCCACAGGGAAGCGGGCCCTGCCGAGGCTGCAGCAATGGTCTGGAGTGAACCGGGACAAGCTCCAGCAGTCCAGGGCCCGGCTGTACCCTTGAG